GTCTCCCACTTCCTTTCATTTGTCTCCCACTTCTTTTTATTAGTCATTTGTCTCCCACTTCTTTTCATTTGTCTCCCAGGCTGGGTGCTTGTGGTCCGGTTCCCGGCTGGCTTGTCTCCCACTTCCTTGCATTTGTCTCCCATTTCCTTTTATTTGTCTCCTAGGCTGGGTGCCTGGGTTTCCAGCCGGCTTGTCTCCCACTTCCTTGCATTTGTCTCCCACTTTTTCCCCCAACTGTTTACTGTTATAGGGGTTCTCAATTCTTTCTTAAGATGTGTCCGCCCTTTGTGTCAGGTGTCCGCCCATTTCCACTGGCCATGTAGCATTTCTAGTGTCCGCCCTTTTCCGCTGGCCATGCAGCATTTCTATTCATGTGTCTCCCAGGTCTGTCACACTGGTGGTGTCCGCCCTTTTCTGCAGGTCGTGCAGCATTTCTATTCATTTGTCTCCCAGGTCTGTCACTGCTGGTGTCCGCCCTTTTTCACTGGCAATGCGACATCTATATTCATTTGTCTCCCAGGTCTGTCACTGGTGGTGTCCGCCCTTTTCCGTTACCCATGTAGCATTTCTATTCATTTCTCTTCCAGTTCTGTCGCTGCTGGTGTCCAGCATTTCTATTAGGTCTGTCAGTGGCGTTGTTGTCCGCCCTTTTCCGTTGGCCATGCAACATTTCTATTCATTTGTCTCCCAGGTCTGTCACTGCTAGTGTCCGCCCTTTGCCGCTGGCCATGCAGCATTTCTATTCATCTCCCAGGTCTGTGTCCCCCCTTGTCCGCCCTTTTCCACTGGCCATGTAGCATTTCTATTCTTTTGTTTCCCAGGTCTGTCACTGTTGTGTCCTTGTCTATTGGCCATGAAGCATTTCTATTCATTTGTCTCCCAGGTCCGTCACTGCTGGTGCCATGTAGCATTTCTATTCATTTGTCTTTCAGGTCTGTCACTGGTGGTGTCCGCCCTTGTCGGGCCATGAAGCATTTCTATTCATTTGTTTCCCAGGTCCGTTACTGCTGGTGTCCGCCCTTTTCCGTTGGCCATGTAGCATTTCTATTCCTTTGTCTCCCAGGTGTGTCACTGCTGGTGTCCGCCCTTTTCCCCAGGCAATGCAGCATTTCTATTCATTTGTCTCCCAGGTCTGTCACTGCTGGTGTCCGCCCTTTTCCGTCGGCCATGCAGCATTTCTATTCATTAGTCTCCCAAGTCTGTCACTGTTGGTGTCCGCCCTTTTCCGCTGGCGATGTAACATTTCTATTCATTTGTTTTCCAGGTCTGTCACTGCTGGTGTCCGCCCTTTTCCGCTGGCCATGCAGCATTTCTATTCATTTGTTTCCCGGGTCTGTCACTGGTGGTGCCGCCCTTTTCTGCTGGCCATCTTTTTGTCTTTCAGGTTTGGTGCCTGCACTGCTGTTTTCTGCCCTGTCCGCTGGAACAGGTTCACCTGTGAAAGGTTCTTGCTCCTTTGAAAGGGGTGCGTGACTGTCTCCGGGATTGCATTCCTGCCACACTGTGTAACTCTCTCAGCTTTGTTTTCCTTTCGGGCAAGCGTTGGATGAATGACCGGATTGGACTTCGGCGGCGTGGCAGCGATCTCTCTGTTCAGTTGGGACGGAGGGCATACGCCAGGCACCAAAAATCAACTTCATGTCACATCCTTCGCTCCTCATGCTTTTAATTCTTGTGGTCAGCTCCCCGCTGATTGAGCAGCATGACCAGCATCATGTTCGCACTTGAAGAATAATTCTCCAAAAGGTTTTCTGTTGGGGTTTCTCAATTCTTTCTTAAGATGTGTCCGCCCGCTCTGTACTGCTGTGTCCGTCTCTGCCTTGCAATCCTTTACATTTGTCTCCCAGCTCTGGGCTGCCGCCTCTGCCTTGCAATCCTCTGTCTCCCAGCTCTGGACGTCGCAAGCTCTAGTTTCGATCTGTTTGGGGTCTACGGTGGTGTAATTTGTTTGTTTCTGTTGCATGCTCCAAGGAGTGCACGGACCGCATGCGCGGTGGCTTTTCTCGGAACATCATGAGGCACCACTGTGGTGCCTTGGTAACGAGAAAGTGGTGAAATGGACTGGGGCAGGACGGGATCTCTTGGTGAAGAAGCCTATTCTTCTCTCGCAAGGTGCCCTCCCCAAAGTCTGTTTCAGTGCGTTCCAGCGCCAGAGGCTGGTATCCCCTGGTATCTGGTCCGTATCCCTCTGCCACATGCATGAGAATTCCTTGGTGGAGCCATTCGCAGTGTGCAGCATGTATAGCTAAGCCTTTGATGACCACCTTCAGCGGCACAAGCTGCGGAGAGTGCAAGGCAACAGGTTCTAGTATGTGAGCTACACTCGAAGTTCTGATTCCCTAGCAAGTCGAGGGAAGGCCCTTCAAGAGTATATACATCAACAGAAATGATGAAAGCACTTGTAACTTGATAATTCTCTTCATTCTTCAGGAAGAAACAGTGGAGAGAGGTGTTCAATTGGTCGCGGTTGCTGTTCGGTTCATGGGTTGCCCTGGCAGCGTTTTGCGGACCTGCCCTCTTTCGCACGACTCCACCCGATCCGGGCGATTCCGCCATGCGACCGAGTCACTGGCCGCGCCGAAGCAGGTGCAGACTTGACGAGCTTTAGCAGTGATGTGACCGAGTCGGCCGTGGCCTGTGAGGCTGTGAAGCTGAGGGTTGAGGGGGGAAGGAACCCCCATACATTCCACACCTTCAATGACCACATTGTTTTGAACGCCAAAACTCCAAGCGGAGAGGATGACTGCTGAGAGATGAGTTCCTTTGTGTACACCTGCATGCATTCGAAATGTATGGAAGCAAATGTACCAAATCTACGATCAACCTGTTTGGCATTGTTTGGCCGGACTCTGGCATTCAATGCGGCCCAGAACCCCATGTTGCCCACCGGCGCAGCCAGGCTGCTTCCACACCCTTCTTGCACAGGGCGTTAGCAAACAAGATGTGCCGTGGCGTCGTGAGCGCGGTGGAGCGCGGTGTCGTGAGAGCGGCGTGCGAACCGTGTTTTTTTCTAGAGTTTCTTCTGACATGTTGGTGACATGGATATCGAATATGATGAAATTCATTATGATTCTGCAAGGACTTTGGGCTTTGAACTGCAATGAAGCAGACAAAACATTATGGAGTTTGGGCGCAGCAACACTCACATTTGCTTGTTTGATCGGCAGGGATTTCTTGGGACACCACCAGCCATTTGAAGGGTCTACTGTTTGCCTCCACTTGGCCCCAGGAAGCGAGACTCTGAGACGGACTCTGTGCGATTTTGGGGTGTGAGGGGATGTGGAGGAGGACTCTGGTGGGATGTGGATGGATTTCAATGTGTTTTGACACCCAGGTTCTCTCAATGTGGTGACGCCTGTGTGTATGACTTCGAGCAGCCGGAGAAGATCGAGTTCGTCTATAACGAGGAGAAGAAATGCTATGCTGAGAAGCGCCACTTGGATGGCGGATGAACTCCACAGAAGTGGAAGAGATGTTATCAAGGCACAGATTCTCCGAGTACAAACCTCTTTGTTCTCCCTCATTATCACCGACCATGAACTTCTGCCCAACATCTTGAAGTCTTTTTCGCTCTTTCCGTCTACAAGACGATGAACTTTGTCTCCCACACATTTTCTCCACAGAGATGATGTACTTGATTCATTCAGCAATTCAAGTTTCATGACATGGGGAAGGTGACACAGATTGACCAGTGGAATCATCTCACGGTCTCACGGTTGATCTTGGATAAACACGCAGCCTGCACTTCTCTTTCTTGGAGAACTTGCCACACATCCAAAATATTTCTTCGAGTCTTTGTTGTGCACAGAAGTAGTTGAACACGGAAGACTGCCCTGATCAAAGCGTATCAGAGCAGGGTGGCTGAAGCATCATTGAACTCTCCTGATTTTGGTCAACACATGTCAGCACCTAATCGTAGGTTGACGCTTTACACAGTAAGCTGTGCAATTGTTGCCAGGTTGGAGGCCGCCATCACTTCTAGGTTGGAGGCCATAGCTAGTAGATTGGAGGCCATCGCTAGTAACCCCTAGTAGGCTGGAGATAATTGCTATTAGGTTGGAAGCCATCCCTTCTAGGTTGGAGGCCATCGCTATTGGGTTGGAGGCCATCGCTAGTAGGTTGGAGGCCATTGCTAGTAGGTTGCAGGCCATTGCTATTAGGTTGGAAGCCATCGCTAGTAGGTTGGAGGCCATCGCTAGTAGGTTGGAGGCCGTCGCTAGTAGGTTGGAAGCCATCGTTAGTAGGTTGGAGGCCATCACTATTCGACACAAAGAAATATTACACACATGAATGTACTGGTAAGACCAATGAAGTTAAAGGGGATTTGGGTTTCTTTCTTTTTGTTTGTCTCCACCATAGTATGCTCTTGGGCTCAGGAAATGGCGGATGCTCTGCGCAAGATCCAGTAGCTGTCGAGAATGTCAAGCAACTTGGTGATCAAGGTATGTGACGGTATGTCTGATTTTTTCAAAGAAGTGAACACTTGGCTGTCTCTACTTGCCAAATCTATGATTTCCAGTCTCATTTAAGACAAGAGGGCCAAATCCTTACGCCGGTACTGCGAACTTGGTATTGTCACCCACCTCTGGTGTGCTGAACATGTTGCACATCCCAGCCACTCTTTCTCTACGTGGGAGTTGTTGTTTGTCTATGTGCTTGAATGCCTTTTTGCAGGGAAGATTCTGATTCTTCAGCACTCTGCGAACATCCGCTTGGATGCAGGGCTATGACAAGTTTCCACTCTCTAGCCCATCTTGGATCCTCAACATATGGGTGTGTAGTAAAGTTCGACCGCCCGGAAGGAAGAAAATAGACCAAACCCCATTGGACCAGGGGGTCGCCCAAATAAAAAGGCACCCGCATTGTCTGTCTCCGGCACCACTGGTGACCCAGGCAGCACAAGAGCCAACTCTGCGAGGTGCGGGTCGTGCGCTGGTCATTTCGATGGTGAACTGAGTCATGCGGGCTGCTGAACCATTGGGCGAAGATGTTCCAGCCTGTGGAGAGTCGCGTCTCTTCAGAACCTTCACAGATTTATTAGTTATGGTTATTACTTGCTACTGTAATTACTATTGGCTACTTCAAGTTTTGAATGGACACTTTTTAGTGCTTGTGCTTGATTTATATAAGAGCCAGAGACGATTGGATGATGAGAAGTGGATCCAGTTAGCAGCCTAGCAACTCTCGGACTCCCAGGTTTTCACCCCTTGTCGGCCTAAGCCAAGCCATGATCTTATGGACGTGGATGAAACTTGGGAAAGCTTCTACCTGATGTCTGATCCGATTGGATCTGTTTCCGCACCAACCTCTCTCCCACAGACGCCTTCAGGCGGAGCTTTGCCATCCCTTTATTCCCGACCTCACGGAGAATATCATGCTCCGCTACTGACCGGTGCTCAGATGGGGGTTCCAGAACCAAGCAATGACCAGCGTCCCCAACCAATCTGCAAGCAACTAGTGAAAGCTGTGCAGAGCAAGAACAGCACGTTTGATGCATGAGATTCGTGTTCCCCTGAAGCTTTAAGTGGAACCTCATTCATGTTCCCTTGTTTGTTGAGTCAGTCGTGTGTCAGCCCAATGCTGAAATTGCAGCAAGCCACACAATTATACCCATAGAAAATCACAGAGAAATAATCTAAAATTCAGGAATGAATTCAGGGCCTGAACTTCGAGCGAACGAAGCAGCCTGACGGATTTTGGGAGATTTTTCCGCTCGGAACATCGATCAACGCCACCAAGCCATGGGATCTGGGATGGTTTGGTGAAACTGCGGAAGTATGATGTGTTGCAGAGGGAAGTGACTCCCCAACATGTGGAACCTGCAATCCAAGTCAATCCAAGTCACCCCGATGGACATCGGCTCCGCTCGGCTCAGCCATGAGCTATGATTCTTGATCTTCAGATACCATCCTTGTGATGATTCTCATCCAACACCCAGGTAGATTCAAACAATACCAAGCTCTCGTGGCGCAGTCAGATCTTCGTGTGCTTTGAAGCTTCACAGGTGGCGAGGCGGGGGCCAATGGACAGGATCATTCTCCTGACGCCAAAGGCTGCGAGGAAGTGGCGGGCGGGGCACTGGGCGGGAGGGTCCGGTTCAGAGATGGCATCGAAGGAACAAAGGAGGTCATGTTAATACGTGATTTGCTACTAAAATAAGCAAAGGTAATCTATCTATCTATCTATCTATCTATAGACAAGATAGGCACCGTCAAAATAGATGTTGCAATTGCCATAGTGACAATTCATTTTTGCCTATTTGCTCACACTTCTCACACGTTGGGCCACCGGCAAGGAGACTTACACCGCGAAGGTGCAAACAGCACTGGCCAACCACATGTGAGCCGCTGGGAAACGGGGGCGGCAAACGGGGTGCGAGGCGGTGTACGGCGATCGTGCGGCACCCATCCAGTGGTCGTTCTTCTTCGGTGTACGGGGGACGAATGAGCTAGTGGGTCGCGCGAGTTCGCAGCTTGTCGTGTAGGGCAAAGCTGAGGATTTGGTAGGCATCCAGGTTCGCCAGTTTTTTGGACATTTAGCACAGCAGGAGGAGACAGTACTCAAAGTGCAAGTCTGCTGAGTTGGATTCCAACAAAAATACAAAAGGGCTTGGCTTTGGAGAAGCAGACTGGATCACCGCTGGTTGGTAAACATACGGACAAGCTCACAATGCTAATCCTGGGCTGCAGCCTTGCTTGGGAAATGGTTCCCCCAACAGCGATCCATCCGATCCATCATGAAGCCCTGGCACCACCGGTGATAGCCTTTGACTGGTGGAAGATCGCCAGGTTCAAACACTGTGGTGCTTGGTGCCTCTTTGACTACGATGAGCCAGACAAGGTCTCCTACGCATGGGACGACAAGCAGCAGTGCTGGAAGCAAGGAGGCGGGCGGATCAGAGCTGTTTGGAAGCTCTGTGGCTGGATCATATGGAAAGCATGACGCCCTTCCCAGACAGTATAGACTTGCAACAATAATTCCATATGAGTCATATGAGCCTTCTTACAGCTCAGTCTTGTGGAAGCTGAACAAAACAACTCCTGGCCCTTTTTGTGTTGTTGCCAGTCTTTACACGTTTCGTTTGCTTTGAAAAGATGTGGATTCCTTCCGGTCATGTGTGGACCGCATGTTGATCAATATGACACAATGTCCAGACCAACCTTGCAAAAAGCTCATTTGGAATCATGCCTAGTAACAAGGGCATTACTACCTAATCGCAAGAAGCTACTAGTAGCAGGGGCATTGCTACTAGTAGCTTCTAGTTACTAGTAGCTAGTTAGCTCCCAAGGAGACATCAGTTGTTCTTTCTCTACAGTCGCTTGCGAAGCCCACAGGTTGTGTTGGCCATCCAGAGCAGCAGTATGCGGTGGAACGCCGCAACAAAGCCTGTGAGGCCTTGATGAGCTGGAAGGAATTGTTTTTGGGGTTGGCTTGACATGTCTTCCATCTGCCAAAAGGTTGCTTTCCTCTGGATTTTTTCCCCAAACAGTGTGGACACACTAGGGGTTCTTACGGTGAGGGAAAAGCAGCTGATGCTTAGATCGCTGAAGCGCGCGGGCGTGGACGGCTAATTCGCTGCTATTTACAGTACGTTCATACCTCTCGCGATCGTCCACATGCATTTCGACTGCGCAAGCTCGCGAAATCTGGGTGGCCGCGGCGGGTGCTTCTAGCGACTGCTCTCTCGTTGTGGTGCCGTGACAGGGTGGTCACTTTTCGTGGCAGGCGCAAGGGAAACCTCGTGTTTTGTGGTGGTCCAAAGTCGACTTTTCGTGAGAGGTGGAAGGGACTGGAGCGGTTTTACTTCGAAGTGCAGATTTCGTGGCAGGTGCAGCACTTTGGACATGGTGGTGATCGTCGAGGCACTCTGCTTTTGTGACAGGTGCAGTGAACCATGACTTTTGGACATGTGGCTCGTTTGCAGACTTCGTGGCAGGCACAGCACTTTGTGAACCTCGACGTGCAGATTTCGTGGCAGGCGCAGCACTTTGTGAACCTCGAAGTGCAGATTTCATGGCAGGCACAGCAGATGGTGAACCTCGAAGTGCAGATTTCGTGGCAGGCACAGCACTTTGTCAACCTCGAGGTGGAGATTTCGTGGCAGGCACAGCACTTGGTGAACCTCGAAGTGCAGATTTCTAGTACTTTGGGAACCTCGAAGTGCAGAATTCTGCGCAGGCGCAGCACTTTGCGCGCTCAGATGCTCACTCTCTCACTCTCACTCTCACTCTCACTCTCACTCTCACTCACACATTCACACTCACACTCACTCACTTTCCCACTCTCACTCACACTCACGCTCACTCTCACCCACCTTCACTCTCACTCACACCCACCTTCACTCTCACTCACACTCACTCTCACTCTCACTCACACTCGCACTCACGCTCACACTCATATTCACACTCACTCACTCTCCCACCCTCACTCACTCACACCACCACCGCCACCGTCACCACGATCCCCACCTTCATCACCACCATCATCATCATCTCTCTGGACCCCAATGCGTCTAGATCTCTAGACTTTCTGCTTATAGACCTCACACACACACACTGTTTGGGGTCTCTTGCCGGGACAATTTTACTGAAGAACATGATTTTAGTATGTAATATATATATATGTATATTTGGATCGTTTTAGTGTGGAGAAGCGTGTCCCGTTTTGCATGAGTGTTGCAGATGGGGTAACGGCCTATTTTGGAGCACAACAACATACAGCAGTCTCTCGGTTTCTCAGCATTTCTCATTAGCAAATGAGCTGTAATTTGTGATTGACTTGGTATTGCGACCAATGACCAATGTTTGTGCGCAAAAGATGCTGACTATTGGAACAGTAGAAGTGCAGTCACTGCCAGGCTTGTTGATATGAATCTTATCCTTCCCCTCACGAGACTTGTAGTTGGCGCAACCTGTGACTGTGAAAGCTGTGAAATCAAATCTTTCAAGTTCTTTAAATTAAAAGGATCTCCCGGATCTCCCAACCCTTTTTGGTGGCCGGGTGTACGCCCTGTTGCAGTACACCACCACAACCACCACAATGACTACAACCAGTACATCAACGACGACCGCAAGCACAATCACCGCTGGGGCCACAGTCTGAAGGAGCGTTGCCGAGTCTACAGCAGATTAGGTAAATGAAACTGACTCCGCCGAAGGGGTGGGGGTCAGTCTGTGTTTAAGAGTCTATAGCCCAAGTGTCAGAGCCGTTTTCTAGTTCATGCAAGCATCCTGGGGCAAACCTTAGGCTGGTTGCGGAATGGAGCTATTTGAAGGCTTCTTCTCCACAATACAAGGGGTTGAAAGTTCTCCAGTTGGAGGATGTGATGTAGCCTTCAGCAGTTGGAGAGTCCAAGAATGGAGCTTCGTCCCTGCGATTGTTGGTCCAATCCTCTCTCTCCGATGGCCTCCAACCACACAGTGATGGCCTCCAATCTAATCGCGATGTTGCTCTTCCGTGGTGCTTGCAACTGCCAAGTCCACCAGCACCACCACCACCAGCACCAGTACAGTGACTTCCACCAGCACAACCACCACCTCCACGGTGGGGGCGCTCAGCGCAGCTGTGCGCAGCTGTTAGCGTTGGAGAGACGAGTCGCTGTGCGCACGAGACGGGTCACTCAGCTATCTATGTGCCTTATTCTTCTAAGGTTGTATTCGAAGATGTATCCATAAAGCTATCAGAGGTTCCATTTGCAAGTGTCCCTTACTTTAAAGGGAATTGTTCTGGAAAGAGATAGTTTTATATAGTTTCTCACTTTCTGGTCTTTCAAACACTTTGAACATCCTCGACACACTCGTGAAACTAACGTTTCTTGAGTGGTTTTGACCTCGTTGCAGCATCCAATGAATGTGCAAAGGCCGTCTGACCGGAACGGGAGGAACCGGAGGAACGGCCCCATGGCACTCCGTCTCGGCCCCATTGCTCTTGCCGTGATGTTGAGTGATCCCACTCCGCTCTCAAATCGATCCATGTCCCCAAATCAAGGCTCGATGAACTCCCAAACCACCCCAATTCTGGTCCAATCCTCCCCGGAAGTGATGCGGAAATTGGAGTCTTGCCTTCAGGCGCCGCCGCGACGCACCAGGTGACTAGCACCAGTACCACGACCACCAGTACCATCACTTCCACCAGTACTACGACCACCTCAACGGACTGGATCTCAAAAACGCTTCGAAACCGGTCCACCGTCCCGGTCCGAAACCGGGCTCGGAGTGGGCAGGTGTCGTTTGGTGCGAACGGTCAGGGAGTGACAAAGCTACTGTGAAGTGACCTAGTAGCTTCTTGCTCCTAGTAGTATGGCCCTTTGCTCCTAGTAG